GCCAGAGGGATGATGACAACGATGACGATGACGATGACGATGACGATGGCGATGATGGTGCTGCTGCTGCTGCTGCTGATAATGATGATGATGATGATGATGATGATGATGATGATGATGATGATGATGATGATGATGATGATGATGATGATGATGATGATGCTGACGCTGCTGATGATGACGATGATGATGATGATGCTGACGATGATGATGGTGATGATGCTTGTGGGGAAGATGACAAGGATGGTGCTAATGATGGTGAAGAAGAAGGTGGGACTAGGGATTGAGCTGTAGATGGATATGACGAGGCTTATGACGATGATGGTGATGCTGGTGATGATGATGGTGATGCTGAATATGGTGGTGTTTTTGATGATGATGGTGGTGGTGGTGATGCTGCTGCTGATGACGATGATGATGCTGATTGTAGTGGTGATGATGATTTCCAATGATGCTCGCGACGATGCTGATGATGCTGATGCTGCTGACGACGATGACAATGCTGCTGCTGACGATGATGATGACGATGACGATGACGATGATGATGATGATGATGATGATGATGATGATGATGATGACGATGATGATGATGATTATGATGATGATGATGATGATGATGATGATGATGATGATGATGATGATGACGATGCTAATGCTGCTGATGATGATGAGGGTGCTGATTTGGATGAGGATGAGGATGATGGTGACGACGCTGATCATGATGACGATGATGATACTGACGATGATGCTGATGCTGCTGCAGCTGCTGATGATGATAATGCTGATGATGATGATGCTTATGATGATGATGATAATGATGATAATGCTGATGATACTGATCATGATGATTATTATGTGGGTGCTGATGATGCTGATGATGATGACGCCGATGATGAGTAAAGTGGCGATGGTGATGGCGATGGTGATGATGATGCTGATGCTGATGCTTGTGATGATGATGATGATGATGCTGATGATGATGATGATGATGATGATGGTGGTGATGACGATGATGATGATGATGATGATATTGATGATGGTGAGGATGACGACGATGACGATGGCGATGCTGAGGCTGATGATGCTGAGGCTGATGATGATGGTGATGATGGGTGGGATGATCTTGCAGATGTTGATGATGATGATGACGATGACGGTGCAGCGGCCGCTGACCACGACGACGACAACGTTGATGCTGTTGATGGTGATGACGATGATGACGACGAGGACGGTGACGATGACGATGATGATGACGATGATGACGATGATGATTCTGATGGTGATCGTGATGATGACGATGAGGATGATGACGATGATGATGATGATGATGATGATGATGATGATGATGGTGATGGTGATGGTGACGATGATGATAGTGATGATGATGATGCTGATGCTGCTGATGCTGATGAGGATGGTGATGCTGATGCTGATGCTGATGCTGCTGCTGCTGCTGCTGATGATGATGATGATGATGATGTTGATGAGGATTATGATGATGATGATGATGATGATGATGATGATGATGATGATGATGATGATGCTATTGTTGTTGTTGTTGATGGTGCTGGTGGTAGTGGTGGTGGTAGTGGTGATAATGATGATGCTGAGGAAAACCCTGATCAGGATGACGATGTCTGTGACGACGCTGTTCATGATGACAGTTAGCCAGCTGCCTGCGGCAAACCCCGCAAGCGTTCCTGTACAACTGCGCAGCAGGAAGGAGACTGAGTGTAGGAACAGCGCAATTCCGACGACTGGTCTGAACGTGGGCGGGTCGTGAACTGACCTCGTCTTCGTCAGCGCCACGCTTATTGAACGACTTGCTGCACAGTTCCGGCAAGTCGCACGTGCAGTAAACAGCGACCAGACCTTGCCCAGAAGTGGGCAGGCCTCCCTCTCGAGGCGTCGGCGCCAGGTCCTCCGCCCCTGGCCCGCGGCGACCTGGAAGTCGCGCAGCGGAGCCGGGCATGCAGCGGAATACTGCCCTCAGCGGGGCAGGGCGAGGACGAGGACGAGGACGAGGACGAGGACGAGGACGAGGACGGTAACGACGACGGCGACAACGGCGACGACGACGACGACGACGACGACGACGACGACGACGACGACGACGTCCCTGGTGCTATCCGTCGGCGGGCAGGGCGAGGCTGGCGGCCTTCCTCTGGAGGGCACCCTGCCTCCCGGGGGCCCGCCGGCGCGCTTGGCCGTGGCTCCGTGGCGTCTCACGCGGGAGGTGGCAGCTGCTCGTGGGCTTGTTCGCCTTTTCTCATGGCGCCAACATCGCAGAGCGGATTTCGTTCGGAAAACGATGGGGTGGGCCCAGGGTGTCCTGCAGAATTTCGTTCCAGATTTCGAGGTGAATTTCGTGCGGATTCTTTTTAGCCAGGAAGACCAAAAAGAACCCACGCGAAATTCACTTCGTTTTGCGCCCGCCACTTCGGGCAAGCATCCACGCAGAAATCCACACAGAAATCCGCTGCAGCACGTCTGCAAGGCCGTGCAGAAATCCACAGAAATCCACGCAGGAATCCACAGAAATCCACAGAAATCCACAGAAATCCGTGCAATGACCTTGTCTTCTTGTGCCATGTAGGATCAAGCGCTTTGAGAAAAACAACTGCCCAGGAAGCTCGCCTCGCCTGCCCTCGAAGAAGCCTTCGTGGAGGCTTTTGCGAGGGGGTGGGGCGCTTCTATCAAGAGGGAAACAAAAAAACACACACAGACACAATTAATCGTCGACCCCCCAGAAAATATGGGGAAATATGGGAAGTGGGGGGGAAGACAAAAACCCAGAAACTACGGGAAAATATGGGGCCTATTTTTATCTGTGTGTCTTTATTTGTATGTCCTGGGGCCCCTTCACTCTATGAAGCGCCCCTGCCCTCTTCGGGGGCCGCCCCCGCCGACCCGCCGCCGCATCCCGGGCGCCGCCAGTGTTACCCGGGGCTCACGCGGGCGCTCGCGGGGGGGGCGGAAGTGCTGTCATCAGGTGCTCGTCTTTGGGGGCGTTTCTAGGGGGCCACACGCGAGCCCTACCCCTACCCCGCACGATCTCTGAGGGGGGGGGTGGGGTTCGCTTCGCTCGGGAGCTCCCGAGCGAAGCGAACCCCACCCTCCCCCTCAGAGATCGTGCGGGGTAGGGGTAGGGCTCGCGTGTGGCCCCCTGGTTTCGGGCCATCCCCTCTGGGCATGACACCTGTCGAAGAAGAAGCAGCGCTATAAACGTACAGTTTTGGCGCCCCGCGCGGATTTCTTGGATCCGCGCTGGCTCCCCCCCCGGCGGCGCCTCCAGCGCCGCCCCTACTGCGCTCCGCACGCCAGGGAGGGGGGTCCAGCGCAGATCCAAGAAATCCGCGCGGAGCGCCAACATTCTATGTTTATGGCGTCTTTTCGTTTTCCAAATCGGGCCATCCACCCTGGGCTTAAGTCGGGCGTGTCCCTCTAGAAGAGGATTATTCAAAAATCGTCAAAAAATAGTTTGGGGACTAATTTTTCAGTATTTTTCGGCATTTTTCTAGTATATGCTGACTATTTTTATTTTTCGTTCGAAATTCACCTGTAGGGGGACATGCCCGACCTAACTCTATTTCGGGCCATCCGCCCTGGGCACGACATCTGGACATGCGGACCCATTCGGTACTCTTCCTCCTCCCTCACTTCCTGCTACTGTCCTCTTGCTTTCAGTCAGGCCTGTCCGTCGACAGGAGAAAGAGTGAAACATAGTCAAACAAATAGTGTATGGACGATTCTTTGACATTTTGATTCGCACTTGTTTTGCAATTTGTCTTTTCTCGTCCAAAATCCCAGTGTAGGGGGACATGCCCGACCTAACTTTTGCTTCCTTCGTTTCGGCCTGTACGAGCATGGTGGAGTCCCCTCCCCCATCAGTTGGGAGGGCGGCAGCTTTCATCATCGCGGGTCGTCTCCAAGGAGACAGCGATGCTCGTTAGGGGGGACCTTCCTGGGGCCCACGTAGTGAAGTTGCTCCAATCTGCTCAGGAGGGGAACAAAACACACAGACATAATTGATCGTCGACTCCAAGGACAATATGGGAAACTATGGGAAGTGCGGGGGAAGACGAACATCCAGAAAATATAGGAACATATGGGGAATCCTGTTATTTGGGTGTATTCATTTGTGTGTCCTTGGGCCCCTTCATCTGCTTCGGCTCTCTAGCTCGACTCCCGCTCGACTCGGGTTCAGCCCACGGCGGCGGGCCTTCGGCGCAGCATTCGACGCACGGGCGGAGCGAGTGGCTCGGGGGGAGGTTCCCCAGAACGAGCGTCTGACGGTCACCCGAGCCTGTCGCGTGCGGAGGCGGAGGAGGAGGAGGAGGAGGAGGAGGAGGAGGAGGAGGAGGAGGAGGAGAGGAGGAGGAGAGGGAGAAGGAGGAGGGGGAGGAGGGGGAGGAGGGGGAGGAGGAGGAGGAGGAGGGGGAGGTTCCCCGAAGGAGCATCTGACTGTCACCTGAGCCGTTGACTGTCACCTCATCCGCCCTTCTTGGCGACAGCTTGTGGAGCCACCATGAGGCCGACGAGTGTGGCTTCGGCTGGAAGTCTGCTGCGAAGGCCCCATACGGCCAGTTCGCCGACCTTGATAAAGTGAATATCTCTTGAGCGCAGGAGGCGGACGGGGGAACGAGGGCACAGGGCAGTGGCGGCTGTTAATGCGAGGGCGAAGGCCTGATGGTCGTCGGCCCATCCCGCCACTGCACCTGTGCCATTTTCCTCCCAGGGGCCTCCGTGGGGCCCCTGGGGCCTCTTTGCGGGGCCTCTTGGGGCCTCCTGGGGCCTCCTTGCGGCCTCTTGCGGGGCCTCTCTGCGGGGCCTCCGGGGCCTCTTGGCGCCTCCCAGGGCCTCTTTGCGGGGCCTCTCGGGGCCCCACTTGGGCGCGCCTTGGGGCCTCCTGGGGCCTCTTCGCGGGCCCCTTGGGGGTCTTGAGATCATGCTGGATGGGTTGGCTTCCAGCGGTGCTGACAGCGGTGGCGTGCTTTTTG